ACTCGGTCTTATAAAACTGAGCATGGAACAATTGCTCCAATTGTTACCATGTTTGAACAGAGTTCGCTGGCAAATTGATGAACCAGGAGAAAGCTACTCCTGTTAATGAACTAGGGAACAACCTCATTTTATGGTAGTCTGTTACTTCACCACTTTGTAGTGTGAATCGCCCTATGTGTTCTAGAGTAAACACCTTTCCTAAATCGGTAAATAGTGAGAATTCTGACACTTTATACCCTCTAGGCCATGGATATGCTTGGTCTACCCAATCAGGATATGGCTTTGTGTAAGTCGGCCTAATGACAGGACGTATTCCAAAAGCCATCTGATCCTGTACAATTTCCATAATTTCATTTCTCAACATGACGTTGGGGTCATATGGAATTCCTACAGGTTGGTTAATCGGTTGATTTGCTTAAGGCCTGATGTTTGGTCCTTGGTTAGCAACAAAGTTGCCTTGATTTTGGCCATTGTTACCATTAGCCTGAATATTTATTCCATCATTAACACGTGGGGCATTCTGTCCATTATTTAGGACATTGTCTCTTACATTTAGGTTATCCCCCAAGTTAGCTGTACCATTACCACTATTCTGATTTAGCATTACACCATCTCCTGGTTTGAAGTAGAGGGACCAAAAGGTGGTTCTATCCCTTGATTTGGACTTAGGACTGGGGGATTATGTCCCACAATTGTCCTAACTTGAAAGTGATTTGCAAGAAGCACATCAAAGTATTCAGTTGTTTGGCCATGTTGTTATAATGTGCATTTCCATTCTGGGTAAATTTTTCCATATTATGAATATTTCGTAGATTTACCTATTCAACGACATCCTGTGTGAGTTCTCCAAGTAATGCACGCATGGTTCGAGGGCTCAACTCTATCATTGGTTTGTAATGACCGTAACTGCTCTGACTCTGTCCCTCTGTTCGTGGAGAACTATGCTGCTCCTCATATCGTTTGATCACAGACTGGACTCTTCCCTGACTTGCTGTTTCCTTATCAGATTTGTGAGGCATATTGTTTTACCTTTTGTATCTTCAACACCAAACACCAATGTCCCACCGGGCATGCCAAATTGTTTCGCGCGGGTAGTCGCTAACAATTAAAAAGAGATCAGACGATTGTGTAAAGAACAAACCTCTTGAGACAAAGTCCCAAAAAGGGGTGTTTTATTGACGATGATTTACAATTGGAACTAAACAAAATTCCTCCAAGGGGCGCAAGCACACGAGTACTGAAAGAAATGTTTAAGTTTAAACTAAGAAATTGAAATTACATATTCTCTGTTTGAGAGTGTTTGATTCGGGATCCTTTCTCTCTATGTCTTCTCTTCCTTTTATATTCCCTTGATAATTTTTTCATGACAAACCACTTGGAAACTGCTTGATTGCTTTATAACTACCCACTTTCTTTATGGTGGCTAACTTGTCGTGGAACTACCGTCTTTAACTGCTGCCACTACTCTTTGTCGTTCAACCGCCTTCAACTGGGTTCCTTGAATTGTGGAATGTGATAAGGTTACTCAATAACTCCTTCAATAACTGCATTTCTGGATAACCATAACATTTTATGTTTGCTAAGATCCTGGGCGATTCGAAGGTATGGTCGAGAACAGGGTCATCGCTCTGGGTGACTGTAAGGCACTCCATTCGCTCAGATCTTGGGCGTCTTGCAAGCTTGGGCGATGATGTTACTGTGTTTGTGGGCTTCCACTGCATTCATTAATAACCCTGTCTGGACCTTTATCCTGAATTGCCCAATTTGGCTTTATTCTTTGGGTTATTTGATTTGGGAATTCCTCAATTGAACTTCATTCCTTGGATTATTCGATTTGGGTTGCACTTTTAGTGTGTCATCACACTTTGCCTTTTAAAAAAACATGGTCTTTAAGTAAATATGTAAAGATGATGGGACAAAAATGCACTTGACAGTTTATTAAAATATGGCCTTCAAAATTCATTTTACGGAGAAATTAACAGATGTGAACGAGAGGATTTTTTTCGCAACGTTTAGATGATTTGGGGTAGTGACAAGATATAAAATACTTTCCTTGATAGAGACATCATTCAACAAAAATTATTGGCCGTTTAGCCAAAAAAAATAAATTTTAATAAAAATTAATGAAATATATATACAGAATTTTGATACAAATTATCTTATTAAACCTCGATTTGAGTTTTGTTTTGTTTTGTTTTTTTTTTGTGCGGTTTTGTAATAGTAATTTTTCGGAGAACGTGTGTTAAAAGTAAAAAGAAATATTTGAATATACGTTTAAATTATTTTATTAGAAGAATATATGAACGAAAATGAGTTTGAAAAAAAATAATTTCAATAATAAGGCTCAAATTGGGATTAAATGTAAAATTAAAAATAAAATTTAGAAAATGATAGCACAACATAAATTATTGAATTTTGCTACAGGATTCGATTTAATAACAGATTCTTAAATAGACATACACTTGACGAATTTCCTTTGAAATTAAAAAATAAAATAAAACACGGTCAATCATAGACTGGAATGAGCCCCGATTTGGCCCCCATTTTGTGAAAACGAAAATGGGTGGAATAGTTTTTTTTTAAAAAAATGAATGATTAAAAAATAAGAATTTTTTTTCGATTTACGCGTAATATTATTTTATGAAAAATTGTATAATTAATAACAAGAGAAGAAAAAGTAGAACAAAGGTCCATTTGATTGCAAAGATGAAACTGAATTGGATGAAAAACGAATTTCAGAGAATTGAATTGCCTATAATTGTTTTCCTGAAAATTGTAAATTATTGTGTTTGATTGATATAATTTTTCGCGTGGAAAATGTTGAAATAAAAGTGTTTTTTGATATTCGTCTGACTTTGTTTTACATGAAAATTGTCAATTAAAATGATAGAATTTACTGGTATTGGGGATGACATTGGTTTCCATCGCCAAAAAGCAATAAACAAATAAATAAATAATTCAAGAAAATCATTTATTTTTCAGTGTTCGTTTGGCATTTTTTACATGAAAATTATCAATGGAAGAGAAATATTTTTTTTACAATAATTCTTAGAATTGGTTTCCATTACCTTAAAAAAAAAAATCGTTACAGTAGCCAAGAATTTCAATTCTCACCATATATGATGGGAATTGAAATTCCACCGAATCAAGGAATAACACAATTTCCAATTAAAGCTAGAAATTAATTTTATGAAAAATCTTGTGAATCAAACACTATATTTTGAATGGAAAATGGGAATCTTTTACCCATTTTTATAAAATTGGATGAATCAAACACTATCGTAGTGAAACCGAAATTAATGAGATTCAAATGGGATCACTAAGGCTGCTCAACAGGCTTTTTCCTAAATTATTTAACACCTCGAAGATGGTGGAGGCGGCGTATTGGTGGTAGGGTAGGGCACACGGAAGCCTGGGGAGTGTTGAAGTGGTCATACGAAAAAACCCCACATCTCCACTCGGTGACACGTCTTATCAGGCGGCGGCTCCTATTTGCCTCCCCCACCCCACAAGCTTACCCTTTTTACTTTGTCTGTCTCACTTAATTATTGTGCGGCCCTCTCCCATATTTTTCAATTCTCTTTATCTGTCTATCCTCTTGCTCCCTACACCAAGGCCTCTTGTCATGTTCCATTCTCCACTATGATTTGTTGCGGGGGGTAATTGGCCTGTCACTTGGATGCGTTATTCTTCGCTATTTTCTCTTTTCTTCTTCAATAATTCTAATGACTGAATTTTATACACACATACATTTCACAATTTTTCATTGACTGCTAAAAAATTAAAAAAAAACATTGTCAATCAAAAGCTGCCACTTCATTCCCTGAAAATGTCCCTGTTAATATATATATATATATTGAAACTTGTGAAATATGTGATTAACTTGAAGTGTGATCATTAAAACGTTAATATCAAACAAGCAACAAGTCCCTCTTTCATTTAACACAATAAATTGAAAAAAATAGAGAAGTAAAGAGCAACAAATAATTTTAACTACACATTTTATGACAAAAATAACTTTATCAATTTTATAACAAAAACAACTTTATCAATTTATAACTACATATTTTATCAATTCTCTCAAATTTTACTAAAAATATAATTTTTAACAAATCTAATGGCCAAAAATCTCTTTTTCTAAATATGTTTTAGCCCACGTTTGGTATAGAGTAAAATCAGTTTTTAGTAAATTTAGATAAAAATTGAAATAATATTTAGTTAAAAAGTTATGAATGTCATAACGTTTATTTGACAATCATTATTTGGAAAAAAAATGATGTTTTGAATAAGTAGAAACAATTTGGATTTATATTCAAAATATTTTATTGTATGAATGTGTTGTTGAAAATAAGTTTGTAAGAAAAAAATGCTTTCAAATAATAATTGCCAAAGAAAGAGTAAATTGAGTTAGACTAAAATGATAAAATCAGATTATATACAAACAAGAGCCTATTTGGTGAAAGGATCATGACACATATACAAATATTTTTTTTACAAATTTTCTTACTCACTTATCACAATGGGGGTGGGGTGGGGACCACAAGTCAAAATTTTTTAAATTCATGTGGGGTTTGTTAATTTTGTGAGACTGAGTACACCAATTCATCAACGAGATTTTGTACAAATATCTTTATCATTGGTGAAAACTCTTACAAGCAATTGTGACAACGATTCCTAGTGGTTAACCTAGTGGTGCAATTGTCAACAATTGTGACAACGATGACAAATGTCATTTTATACCTTTCGAAGCATAATCTAGTGGTGCAAAGGATATGAGTGAGATAGTGTGAGGGTTCGATTATTGAGATATGGAATTGGACTCTTTGTGAGTACCAGTGTATATACAAACTCTTGTTCCCTGATCTGTTGGGGTACATCCAACAATTTACCTCTTTCAGGATACTTTAAGAGCAAAGCCGTGGGAGCCTTCAAAGTTAGAGTTCAACTCTTTTTTTTTTTTTTTTTCCCTTCACAAATGTCATTTTACACCGTACACCAAATCCAATAGAAATCCAACGGCGAAGAATGATCTAAGACCAGGACTCGCTACACACAATAAAAGGTTCGTGCCGTCCAGCCGACGATTACGGAAGACTACTCTATGGGTCCCTCCACTTTTATACACAATTCTCACATTGCCGCAAAACAAATCTCTCTCTCCGCTCTACCCATTCTTCTCACTGAAAAAAACATTGTTCTCTTCTCCCATGGCGTCCACACGTGAGGGTCATTATAGAGGAGTCAGAAAGCGCCCATGGGGTCGTTATGCAGCTGAGATTCGTGACCCTTGGAAGAAAACCCGGGTTTGGTTGGGCACTTTTGACACTCCGGAGGAGGCTGCACTAGCCTACGACGGCGCCGCCAGGTCCCTGCGCGGTGCCAAGGCTAAAACCAACTTTCCCTCTCCACCCGTACCAGGACTTTCTTTAAACATCAACGTCCCGACCGAAAACCGGTGTGTCTCACCGTCCGGCCGGCTCATGATGAACGACTTTCTCAGCACTGGGGTGAATGCGGTCAACGATGTGAGCTTCAGGGCCAGTGATCACAGCACGCCAGAAGTAGGCGGCCCTTCTGGAACTCCGGTGGAGGAATCCGGCTCCGGCGATGGCGAAGCGAGATATTTTGGTATAGTAAGACGTGGGTTGCCCATAGACTTGAACGAGCCTCCACCTTTGTGGATGTAAGCATTTTCGAAACGGCATGGTTGTCAGACTAAAGAGAGTTTTGCTTAACAAAATTTGTATGATCTAAGGAACTAATATTAGCATTTGTACATATATGTTTTTCGAGCTTTATCATGATTATGTATTGAAACTTGAAACAGCTGAGTTCTTTATTATGTTTATGACTGTATGTGTTAAAAGGAAGTGGATCATGTAGATTATTGTGGATAAAGTGCTGATCCAAGGGGGTTGAGCCTGTTTTTTCTTGTGTTTGTGCAACAGAGATATCCGATTTATTCGGACGGAGGGAGTAATGTGGTTCACGTGGGAGGCGATTCACTTCTTTGGAATAACTTTGATTTGATGTTTCAGTCATCTGCCAATTTTTAAATCAATTCTTATATTATGAGTTTTGCTTATTATATACACGATGTCATTAACTGTATAATGATGATGATTTAGCACCCACGAATAAATACCATTTATGGAAAATGCTAGCTATATAGGCCCTATTTCACTGTACAGGCCAGACATATTCGAGGTGTGAGTCGAGGCGGGTGAGGTGGTGGTGGGTGATTATTAAAAAAAAGAAAAAAAAATTACCCACCCATCATTTGTATGTGTGTGGCCTTGCCGAAACAGGGCCTATACAGCCAGCATGGTTCATCATTCATGGGTGACGACTCAATTTTTATGGAGAACCATTCTACTCAAACGGGGCCATCTAGGCTTTGTTTTTCTAGCAACACTTCATGTTACATGCATATATTTTCTTTTAACCGTTCTACACAAACCTGGTTCTTTTGATAGGGGCTGAGGTGGCTCAGCCTCAGCAAGCCTCACACCTTGTTCATTTAGAATTTTCTATTCCTTTTATTATTTGTCAAAAATTTTGGTGTAAATTTGTGGATCAAACAATTATTTTTAGCAATCTTTGATGAATTTACATATGGTTTTGTATAGATTTGTTGATAGATGCAAGCCTGAAAATTCAAACCAAGGGGCTTATGCATGCCACGCATGCATCTGACAATTTATCTACAAAAATTATGGATATGTAGGACAATTTATTTCAGAAATTCATATCAAGGAACATGCATAAATCTCACTCTATCCGTACAAAATTTCTGTACATATAGCACAATTCATCTTTGAATGTATATGATTAGTATTTTAAATAGTTTATGTAGAATTTAATAAGCTTTGGTTAAGTACAAGTTTTGACTTTAACGTCTAACTATGCTTTATGTTTTTTACACTTAAGTTTTGCTAAGATTCAAACTTATTATTTGACCATGTTGTACGTTTTCTAAAATATAGTGTATGGCTAGGGGCGTACCCATCAAGGGCTCAATGGGCTATTGCTCTCGCTGAATCTATAATTTTTTACATTGAGAAAAAGGTCACGTAATAGTAGCCTATAATTTTTAACCCAAATTCCACAATCTTAAGTTTTTTTACATGAAAAAAGAAGCCACATAATTCCAATTTCCCACTTAATCGTACTTCCTTTCCCCAACCCCTTCGATTCCAAATTCCAATCACTATATTTCGAAAGAAGAAGAAGAAGAACAGATTGACGAAGCAAAATTTTGTGATGTTTATGTTTTGATAGTTATTCATGCTTATATAATTTCATCACATCCAAAAATCAAATCATTTAGAAATATCAAGCCTAAAAATTTTCTCCACAACATTTCGATGTGTTTCCTTATGCGTGTTACAGCAGTTGAATAGTAGTGAAATGTTGGCTTAAATGTTCCGAAAAGAAGATTCTGTGCTCTGACTAAAAAATGTTGGTTTGTAAATGCTCAATGAGTTGGAAATTTTAAAATTTGAGATTATTTGATTTGACTAATTGAAATTATGTACTCTAGGGTAGGGATGGCAATCGAACTCATCGGCTCAAGCCGTTCGTGGTTCGGATTGGAAAAAGTTCGAGTCCGCCCTGCTCGAGGCTGGGACTGAGCCTCATTTTGGGGTGCTGGGCAAAGCCCGAGCCGACTCGTACGGCTTGTCGACTCGAGCTCACACACACACACACACACACACACACACACACACACACACACACACATATATATATATATATATATATTTTTTTTTTTTTTTTTTTTTTTTTAAAGGGAAAATGAAAAACGTAATTGTGCACTATATAAAATTTTTTGCTTCATATAAAGTGGTCTTACTTCATTAAATACGGGGTAGTTATTACTTATTTCATTCATTAAGTAGAGTTGTTGCATTGATTAGGTGAGTGGCTGGGTGTTGGAATAGTTTGGAATGAGATCTCTTTCATCGAATTTAGTCCATTTGTCATGTTATTTGCAATTTCAATTCTTGATGTTCATCTCTTAACTATCTATTTCGTTGTTGGTATATTTATTCAAGTTTTGTTTGATTTGTAGGAAAATATGTTGAGATATTTTGAAGAAGATGTAGTTAATAAAATCAATAACGGACTATTATACGACGTTTTTAAAGTACGAGAAGTCGTAAGAAATAATTGTAAAAACAGTACTATGTTTTGAATATTATCGTTGTCTAATCTAAAATTATTTTGTACGTAATTCTATCTTGTTGGATCCGTCCATGTCAGGATGGCTATGAATCATGAAATGATTTACGGTAGGTGCAGACAGAGTCACGTTAGTAGGGGAACCAAGTGATTCACACGGAAAAAATGGGGCTATTTTTGGATAAAGTTAATAGAATTTAATGGGGAGAGAGTTTTGGTTCAAGTGCCGGCTTTGGAAGTCGCTTTCACCTCGGAATTTGTCGTCTTCCTACCTATAAATTTCTCATTGTCAATTTGTCATCAACTTATATATTCACATGCTAATGAGTATGTAGTTTTTTATAAGTCCCAATTGGCCCCCATTAATTTTCAATCAATTATATTTTTATTTTTATTTTTCCTATTTTTAATTACACAATCTTTCATAAAATAATATTACACATAAATTAAAAAAAATTTCTTCTTTTTCAATCACTCATTTAAAAAAAAAATATTATTCCATCTATTTTCATTTTCACAAAATAAGGGCTAAACAGGGGCTAATCTACCCAATTGCATTTGCTGACTTTTTTTTTTTCTCGTCCCATTTATATAGTCTTTTTTTTTCTTATTGAGAAAATATTTAATTTGTTCGTTTGCTAATATATCCTTATTTAATTTTTGCTAATTATAATCAATGCCTCATACTTAATCTTGAAATTGTATATATTTTAGTTTACATTCTTGAATTTATCTAAATATATACACACATTTCCCATTTCTTCTTGGAAACATGTACAAAAACACATTTAATCATCATTATTTACTACTAGTTGTTAATAATTAAACAAGGGCAAATTAGAAAAATTCTTTGCAAAAATTGCTTTTTCAATAATATTATATAAAATTTCTTCATCCACGTGCAAAATAAAATCAGCTTATATAAGTGGTACAGAGGATATTGGACTAATTAAACATGTATTCAAGTAAAAGTCTGACAAAAAAATTTCTGAATGGTTCGATAACTCCCATCGTTACGTGTTCACCTTAAAATATAGAAATCACTTTTAAAAGTCAACTATATTTTTCCACAAAATTTTGATAGGATTTTCTCTCTTTTAAGAGCTTTGGGTGTTTTGTAAGTAAATTTGTGTAGAAAAAAAAGGAAGCAGGGTATAATTTCACTGTGATTTTGGCCGGAATGTGTTTCTCAAGGAGACTGTGACTATTTTTGATGGTGCAATTTGGGATGCGTTTTAATTCAAGGTGGCAATTTTTTATATTGGAACTTTGGATATTTGATCTTTAACCCCTTTTACATTATAATGTTGGAATAATTTCAAATATGGACTTCACATTTGATCGTAAATTTTACAGGTTAGATGTATGGCTCATAATAATATTTGTGATTGACCAGAATTCATTAAGTGGTCGATTGAGCCTTTTACATCTTATGAGCTATATTTTATATAATGTGATAATTTTAAGTATGTGAGCCGGAAATATATGTAAACCCTAATTAGCTTTTCAATCGTAATGGGACGGCTCAATAATTTCTTATATAAATGTTAGGTCTCCTCTCTTCTCCATATTATTTTATTAGCTTGCCCTATTGACAGCTAATACTTTATGAGGAGTAAGGAGAGCAAGATCTAACTGCTATTATTTATATCAACAATGGCTACAACATGTATGAATTTGATTAATCAATTTACAATTTTGTGATTCTTGTATCTTAGCATGATTGCAATTAAATTAAACAGTTGGTATCAAAGCCTCTATGTTAAGATCAAAATCCTTCATAAAGACAATACATTTTTTTCTCTTGATTTTTGGCTGAATAATTCTAAAGTTTTTACAACCTGCCAATTCAAAGTTTTTGAAAATATAAAGTCGCTAATTTTGCTTCCACAGCCGTTAGTTCGAGGATTTAAAATTGTTAAATTTTCAAGGTTTTGGTACAATTTTCAAGGTTTTGGATTGTTATTAAGCTTTCAGTTTGGCTTCCGCAACCACCAATTCGAGTTTTGGAATTATTATGTTTTGAATCACGATTTCCAGCTTCAAATATAATGTTTGGAATCAATTCAATTTTCTGTCTTTCATCTTGGCTTCTGCAGTCAGCAAATCCACGGCCACACGTAATAAAATATAGAATTTGACGAACTTCCTTTTAGGTTTAATTCCTGAATCTGAATCTGTATATGTACTGGGTTTTTCTTTTTCTTTTTTATATGTGTGTGAATCCGTACGTATGTGTATAAATTTATGGGCATGCCATTTTGTATATTTGCATATAATGTGCATATATATTTGTATAAAATAGTTAACTAGATTTTGTGGAGTTTTACTTGGCACTGCCTATCTGGTTGTCATCTGGACGACGGCGTGCTAGCAGAATGCGGCGTCAGCAGCCGAAGTGAAAAAGGAAAATTTTTTTCCTTTAGGGGTTTTCCGAGAATCGGGTTTGAGAGAGGTGAAGACGAGGGCTCATGTTGTAAATAGCTAACTTTCAAGCCCCTGTCTGCAATCAACAATTGGGGGTCATATTGCAATTATTTAAAAGAAGGGCCTGCTTGTAATTTGAAGAACTTGGAGGACCTAGTTTTTAATTTTAAATTTAAGGTTAAGATGTGATTTTCAAAAGGGGTTTTTAATTTGAACTTTTAAAGCTTTGACCCTAAAATTTTAATTTTTGACCCAATTAAAATTGACTCGAAATTATATTAAATAAATAATAATAATAATATTATTATTAAAATCAATTGACGACTTTTATATTCTCATCAAAATGTTTGTATATTTAAATGTTGTTATTTTTGTGCGCTTAAATTTAACTTTTCATACATATTAAAA